ACACGCGCACTCTGGGTGGGTGTGTGTGTGTGTGTGTGTGTGTGTGTGTGTGTGTGTGTGTGTGTGTGCGTGTGTGTGTGTGTCCGGGTGTTGTCGTCCAAAATCGCTGACATTTCTGAACTCTGTTTTGGAATCCAGGATCCCCAGTTCATAGAATGAGAAGAAGACCTTGAAATCCAAAGGGCTGGTTTATCAAATTTTGAAAACGATGACACAGGAAACGTTGCCATTTTAAAGAGTGCTGCAGTCTGGTAGGGCTGTTAACTCTGGAAACCAAAATTGTTTGAGTGAACCACTGCTTAAACATTGTAAACATGCAGCAGCGCTTGAAGTGAGATTATCTGAGAAGCCCTAAATTCCAGAGGAAGATTTCAGAGCAATGGTGGCTACCTAAGGGAAAACATTTTGTGCATGCTCTGAAGAATATGCTACTGTGGATAAAAATTGCCTTGCTGGAATGCCAAAATCCCCCCCCCCATTCCATCCTACTTTCAACAGTGTCCAGCACCCCCAGATCAGGCATGCTCTCTCCCTCCTTCCCTCCCTTCTCTTGTTGAACAGTGTCCAACAGCCCCTGATCCAGGCATCCTCTCTCCCTCCTTCCCTCCCTTCTCTTGTTTGCCCCGAATATCTGTTCTTCACAGGCAGTCTCTCAGCATGAAAGTTCTACACAGTAATTTGTTACAGTCATGCCTCATTCACAAATGTGTCTAATCCTCCCCTTTTAAAAATCCTCCAAGCCAGAGGTAAGCAATGTACCTCCAACAGATACTGTTGAACTCTAACTCCCATCATCCTTACCAGTTGCTGTCAACTGTGAGTTGATGGGAGTTGCAGTCTTAAATTGCTCACCTCTGATCTAAATGAAAGCCATAGCTGGTGAGAGCCTAAATCACATAATACTGTATACTGTATATATTTTTTTAAAAATAGGAGCTGCCTTGTTAGGAACCTCTTAGCCGGTTGCTGAGAAGTAGTTTGCGTAAAGATAAAAGTCTTCGCCTGCTTGCAGAAGGACAACCTGAAGATAAAAGTCTTCGCTTGCTTGCAGAAGGACAACAGCAAAGAGGGAGACAGCCTGGCTTCCTGTGGGAGGGAGTTCCACAGCTTGGGAGCAGCAACAGAAAAGACCCTTTCTCATGTCCTCGCCAAATGAAGCTGTGAGGGTGACAGAACTGAGAGAAAGGCTCTCCTTGAGGATTTTAAAACTTGGTCAGGCTCCTCAAGGGAGAGGTGGTCACCCAGAAAAGATCCCACAGCTTTTCTGGACAGCTTTGATACACGGAATGGGAGAGGCGCTATCCTGTCCTTTGCCTGGGGTAGGATGTTTTCGGTTGGCCCTGAGCCTGTTTGCCTTTCGCACACAAACTCTGTGTTCTTTCACTGCCCTTCAGCCTTGTTCTGATCCACAACCCTTGATCTCAGACACCTATTAGCTGAGTGAAGTTACCTAAGGTCCAGTTCATCCCTCACTGAGGTGGTGTGGTTACACATAAACCCCAATGTCTGCTAATATAAGTGCCTTTGGTGAATCAGCCCCAGGGATCCAACAGCAGGGCTGGCCCTCCAGTGAGGCAGAGTGAGGTAAATGCCTCAGGTAGCAGAGGCTGGGGAACACGGTCAGCAACCATGGCTGTTCCTCTAGAATACCACCCCCTCCCAGCCAGTCCCATGTAGTGAAAGATGAAACTGTCTGCCAAATGGCCCGGCATGTTTCTGATACTGCATAATCTTATCCTTTGACTCAGTCAGCAAAATCTGTTGAGTAGGCTCTGTCCAAGAGTAGCCAACGATCATGTGATTTAGGGGGCTTGCCAGCAGAAAATGGAGAAAATAGACATACTAACTAGAGCTTGGAAGATTTCTTTGTTTTTGGGTTGCAACTTCCTTTTTGGTTGCGGGATTTGGGGATGTGTAGTCCAGGGACATGGGATGATATAAAGAAGTGATAAAAGGATGACAGAATCCTTTGGAGAGGAATCCTACGATTAAGAACCTGCAGTTCTAGAAAGCAAAGTGAAAGCTGCTCTGAAAGCATTAAGAAGAAATAAATCATAGGTGAGGCAGAGTGAGGTAAATGCCTCAGGTAGCAGAGGCTGGGGAACACGGTCAGCAACCATGGCTGTTCCTCTAAAATACCCCCCCTCCCAGCCAGTCCCATGTAGTGAAAGATGAAACTGTCTGCCAAATGGCCCGGCATGTTTCTGATACTGCATAATCTTGTCCTTTGCCTCAGTCAGCAAAATCTATTGAGTAGGCTCTGTCCAAGAGTAGCCAACGATCATGTGATTTAGGGGGCTTGCCAGCAGAAAATGGAGAAAACAGACGTATTAGAGCTTGGAAGATTTCTTTGTTTTTGGGTTGCAACTTCCTTTTTGGTTGCGGGATTTGGGGATGTGTAGTCCAGGGACATGGGATGATATAAAGAAGTGATAAAAGGATGACAGAATCCTTTGGAGAGGAATCCTACGATTAAGAACCTGCAGTTCTAGAAAGCAAAGTGAAAGCTGCTCTGAAAGTACTAGGAAGAAATAAATCATAGGCAGTAAATGGAATAATAATAGAACTGTTTCAAGTCACAGAGGCTGAACCTGTCAAAATCCTAACAAGAAAATGTCAACATAAATTGAAAACAAAACAATAGCTTACAAATTGGAAACACTCAATATACATTCCAGTCCCTAAGAAAGGAGATACCAAGGAGTGCAGTAAATACAGGATCAGCTCTTAATTTCCCATGCAAGCAAAGTGATGTTCAAAGAGTTTCAACAAAGGCTTTTGCTTTATATGGAGCAAGAAGTTCAAGCTAGATTCCGAAAATGTTCAAGTAGATTCCAAAAAGGAAAAAGCACTGAAAAAAACAGACTGCAGTCAGAAAAACCCCAGAAGATTGAAACTGAGGCAGTGAAGGAATTAGAAAAGATTATCAAAATTAAGGATGTGTCACTGGAGACCAAGGTCATCCACACTCTTATATTTCCAATCACCATAAGTGGTGCCTCGCTTAACGAGCGCACCGTACAACGAAGAATCCGTATAGCGATCCCTTTTTGGGGATCGCTATACGGAGCTGCCCCAATCGCCGCACTCGCTTTGCGACGATTGGGGTGTCCGGCGGCCATTTTGTCAGTGTTTTCGCGCCCTCCCCTTGCTTACCGAGGTCGCGAAAATGCTGCGGGGGGCCATTTCGGGTCATCCGCGGCCATTAAAATGGCTGCGGAACAGATTAACCTCGCTATGTGGGGCACCACTGTATACAGGTGTTAAAGCTAGACAGTTAAGAAAGTGACAGGAACAACATTGATTTCTTTGAAATTTGGTACTGGAGGAGAGCGTTTTGGATAAATTAGATTGGCAGAAAGACAAACAAGGTAATGCTAAGTCATATCAAGCCTGAATTGTCTCTGGAGGCACAAATGTTGAAAATTGTCTTACTTTGGACACATCATGGAAGGCAAGATTTTCTAGAAAAGGCATTTCCCCATGCTGGGAAATGATGCAGGAAAAGAGGAAGGCTGCATATGTGATGGACTGAATCCCCAAAGGAAGCCATAGGCTTGAGTCTACAAGTGCTGAACAATCAATTAAAGAGGACATTTTTGGAGAACACTCATTCATAGGGTTGCATAAAACCAGAGGCAACTTAACAGCACAGAATAACAATTTCCACCCCCCCACCCCCCAGCATTTGGTAATTAGAGGCAAGCTGCCTCTGAATA